GGGGGGGTCCTCCTCACCCTGTCCTGGTGGCTGGTGGTAAGCCTGTCCTGGTGGCTGGTGGAAAGCTGGTGGAGCAAGCCGGAGCAAGCACATCCCGGTCAGCCTGCAACTGCTCGGCCCCACTCTGCCCTGGCCCTGCTGGCTCTGTTCAGCCCATCCGTCAGCTGGTCTAAGAATAATCTCTATAGCCATAAATTTGCTATTTTAGCTAAAAGTGTTACTCATTATTAAGAGTAAAAGGGCATTTTTATTATTTATAAATTATCAACATAAACACAGTCCAATTGTTATTATATTTGTTTTGAGCACATCTTTATTCTTTTAAGGGAGGGAAACTCTGTGTTTCTGTAATTTCATATTGCTTAGTATAGCATTTAAATGTGTTTTAAAGTAAACTTTTAGTAAATCTCTATTGCCAGGAGAGCCAGAACTCAAGTTCTTTTTTATTTTTGTTAGCAGGGATCGAACTCAGAACCTTGCGCTTTTGAGGCAGGCTGCGGGGCCACTGAGCTAAATCCCCAGTCCAAGAACTCAAATTTTTTTTAAAAAAATTAATATCAACAGGTTCAGTGGGCAAGTTCCCATTTAAATATGCAATTATTTTGATTAAAGGAATATAAGGATTAAAGGAATACAATACAAAAGATCAAAATAAAAATGTACATTTTATTTTTTTAATGTGAATCATATTAACTTATTGTTGTCAATTGCAAATGTACATTTTATTTTTCAAAGTCTTATTCAAGTTGAAAACAGTTTCCTAACTACTATATTTTAACAATGCCTCATTATGTGCCTTACTTTATGTTTTTAAATTTGTAAGAAAAAATATATCTTGAAATGTTAGTAAGATTTTTCATAAGGTTATTTTCAGCTATCTTTTTCTAGATGAAGATACAGATAAAATTCAAGGAACGATGTGAGTATAGAAGTTTCTTACCCAGCCAACATTGTATAAAAAAGGACTCCTAAACTCCAGATATCACAAGCAGCATCATATCCCTGTTGCATAAGAACCTAAGAAAAAAATATTCATTATATGGTATTACTTGGTATAAATTCAATTTTCTTATCCAACTAAGTTGTTTTTGCTTCTAATAATCTCATAAATGGGCAATATATAAAAACTTAAATAATTTTATACATTTAATGTTAATAAACATTTTCTGTAATTAGCAAGCATTGAATAAAAAAGGTATTAGTATAAGCTGATTAAGTAACATAGGCTATCCCCCAAAACAAACTTGTAAACGACATAAACCTTGACCTCAATGAGCTTTCACTCCTCTTAGGAAACCAGTAATACAGACATCTAAACTTAAGATTAATAATGTTCAAAGAATTTAATATACTATAAGCAATATTAAAGCTCTTAATGTTAACACTGACTGCAAGAGGAAAATACATTATCATTCCAATTTTCAAGATGAGGAAACTGAGATCAGTGTTACTTACCTTGCCCAAAATCACAAAACTACTCAGTAGTAAAGCAGGTGTTCTGACCCTAGAGCCTGTAACTTTTATAATAAGTAGCTCCTTACTATACAAGAGATGGTAGGATAATATATGCTTTTACAAAATTAAGACAAGTTTACACGTGTGCCCTACTTATTTCACTTAAAAGAGTATAGCTTCAACATGCATCCATTTAGCTATAAACATCTCTAGTTTTTCATTCTTTATGGCTGAGTAGTACTCCATTTTATAAAAAAAACCCCACATCTTCTTTATCCAGTTTCCAGTTGATGGGCACTTGGGCTGTTTCCAAGCTTTAGCTATTACAAACTGTGCCACTATGAACATGGGTGCACATATATTGCTATGGTATGACTCTTTTAATTCTTTTGGGAAGATACCCAGCAGGGGAATAACAGGGTCAAATGGCACTTCTAGCCCTAGTTCTTTGAGGTATCTCCACACTGATTTCCACAGTGGTTACACCAGTCTGCACTCCCACCAACAATGCAGAAGGGTTCCTTTCTCCCCAGAGCCCCGCCAGCATTGTTATTGAAACTGAAATTGTAAATGAGTATTAAAATGATTAAAATGAATAATTTATCATTTGAAATAGGAAGAAAAGGTCCAAAGGGGTAGGGATGGTGGGAGGGGTAGGGATGGTGGGAGGCAAAGGGGAAAGGAAAGAAGAGAAAGGAAAAATTATGAGAAAAGAAAAACATGGAAACAAAGTCTGTGTAAATAGAGAAGGGTAGAGGGGGTAAAGGGCACACAGATAATGGGGAAAAATAAGAACCAAGATACATCATGTACAGGTACAAGCACCCAATGATAAATGTAAATGTATTGTATACCTAAAATGTACCAATAAAAGAATTTAAGCAAAAAAAAAGATTAAGACAAGTTTACATACAAGACTGTTGTAGAAAACAGTAGTATATTTCTAGATTACAAACCCAGATTTGGTAAATTCTAAATAGCTTCATTATTTTTTCATGCCATGATTTACATAACTGGTTTTGCTCTTGAGATCAGTATTAATAAAAATCAAATAATATTTTTACTACCTATTCAGGTGATATTTTTCTATGAAGTTAATACAGCTTGTTAGAGAAATAAAAAAGTGAAACCACCTTTTTCATTTTCATAAACAAGCTCATTGCTAAAGCCCCTAGGTAAAAGAACAAAGTAGAAATGTCATTAATGCATTTGTACTGGGGGTTGCATAAACATTAGTATTGAGTTTTTATTGATAAAAGACTAAAATATTAACATTTGATCTTGACAATTGCCAGGCATTAATAATGAGTATATAATTAACTTAAAGTTCAAGATATGTTTCTCCTGCTCAAAACGTATTTATAAGAACCATGAGCAAAACTGAGAAGCTACAGAAGTAAAAGAGCATATAGAGCTGCCTTAAATAAATAATACAAGTACTCTAAAGGCTCTAATAAATAACAATGTAGAGATACACTATTCACATCATGATAAATGTAAATTCCTCTAATAATTAACTAAACCTCTACTGTTTTTATAATTGTATCTCTTTTCTCTTTCTCATCACCTTTTTTATATTTTTAGGGAATCACATGTTTTCCCTTAAAAACTTTTTGAAAGCTTTCCTGATGATTCATTGCATAACTACAATTAAGAGCCACTACTTAGGACAGGCGAGGGTTAATCAGCAAGTCAGCTACTGGTATTTCCTGTTGCCACAGCCTTGCAGGTCAGTGGTGCATACCTGCAGTCCCAGTTACATGACAGGCTAACACAAGTGCATCACTTGAGCCCAGAAGTTGGAAGCCAGTCTGGACAATCCAGTCCCAAAAAACGAAAAATATAGTAACCCCCTCCATATTTCCATAACCTTCCTGGTTATGTGAAGAAGAGTTACACTGGAGGTATCATATTGCTTAATTAGGGCCAACTGTGAAAAACCAGATTTAAATTTACCATATCCTTAAACACATTTTGCACGGAAGAAGAAGTGGCAGTTTCACTTTTGTTCTATAGCTAATCTCAATGCCCTACAATAGAGAGAACATGTAATCATAAAAGAAATAAGGCAAGGAATTGGAATGAATGAAAAATGTATAGTACAAAGGCTGTGTTTCACAATATTTTCACTTGTACCAAGATAAATACAGAGAAAAAAGTCATAATTGAAGAAGTCAAGCCTCTCTTTCATTTGGCTTCCCAAATCTGCCAAAAGAAACATATACAGAAATTCTTATTACATTTGCTCTGCATTTTAAATTAATTCATATTTGGAGTAAAACTTATGACAGTCCAGAGCCACAGAGAACGATTTCAACATTATTTTATCAAGAGCTGCAAATGCCACATTCTTCAGCTTTAATATAAGCTCTATTAATTCAGGAACATTTGTAGAGCTCAGGAGGCATTAAATATCAATTGAATAATAGAATGGATTTAGCTCATAAAAGGATAAAATAATTTGGAGATGTATTAACTCTTGTGACATATGTACATAGGAAAGAAAATCTATGAAATAAATCTTAAGAGGTTAACTGAAATGATACATATCCTAAAAAGTGAATGAATATTCTCTCCTTACTGTTAAACTAAAATTATAATAATCAGCTTTTCTCTTTGCAAACTAGGAAGCTTTATGCACTGTGATGAAATAATGAATGTATAGACCCATAAATACTATTATTATTCAATTGTTTGATGACTTTCTGATTATATTTTAGAAGAGACTACATCTTATATACTTCTCTTTTAACTTTTGACAAGGTCTGAAATTTTGGAAACAAACATTGCCAAAAACAGTATCTTTATTCATAACAAATAACAAATATCTATTCATTGCTAGCAGGGGCTTTAGCACTTGATAAAACTTTTCAGAGCATTTCAAAAATATAAGTAACAACCAAAAGTAGTTCAGGAAGTAGTTATATAGACATAGTCTTCCTATACCCACCTCAACACCTTCACTATTACACTGGTAAATGTGTCTTACTACAGTGGAAGTTTCTTTGGATGAAAAACATCATTGGGCTACAGTCTGTTCTATATTTGCACTCATTTAAAATGTTTTTCTAACTATTAATCTTAAAATGTTTACCTAATCATTGATCTAAACAGAGACATGCACATACAGAATTTTTCATTTCATTTGGGACATTCTCCCTCTAGTGTCTTTCTAGTGAAAAGTTTCCATAATACCAAGGGGTCCAGATCAGCAAAAGTCATTATTAAGACCTCTAACAATTAAAATTGTTACTCTGTAATCTAATCTTCTATTGCATAAATCTCTTATAACATCTATGAAGACCATATAGCCTATAATTAATAGAAAAGCCCTAACCTCAAATATTCTATTCTCTTATAAAAATGCTGAAATGTTCCAGAAAGGCTAATATTTTCTATGTCCAAGCCCTTACTTCATGCACCAGGAGGTAAAACAATGACCCCTTGTTGGATCAGTGTCCCAATTTTTATTTTGAAAAACACAGTTCTTGTCCCACATAAAGTGGTAAAACTTGTACATTCATTATTCTGTATATTTCACTAAAATATAGATTTAATCACATTCTCTGAATATATGCATAATTTCTCTAAGGGAAATCTCATAAAAAGCCTATAAAGCAGGTGCTATTCCTATACTTCAATACTAATACCTTAAAGCAAGATAGAGAAAGATTTTAAAAGAATTTTTCATTATCAGAAAGTTATCTATGTTTCCATCTTCAATACTAGAAAAATTACTTTTCTAATAGTTGCCTTAAAAATAGAATAAAATGCAATACTAACCAGAAAAGGCTAGTAGTTAATATTTGCATATGAGAGAGGAATTCATCTTCAAATTATTTTATTCTGCTTTTCCTCTGATTTGGCAAATTTAATTTTTTAAACTTTAAATTTTAGGCACTTTAATTTGTATTGAACATTCAATAATGTATAGTGGTTATCACTGTCCATAACACATAAGAACAATTTTTGACTTACAAACAAAAGTTTAAAGAAATGTACATGTACAATGCCATCCCTGATTCATTTTTCATCAGTCTTACTTTCACTGCTATGGGAATGCTATTTTCATAGTTCCTACCACCATGATCAGATGGTTGGAACTTTCCAAATCTGAAGTTTGTATCTGAACCTCTCTAACCTCACTTGTCCTAATTTTTCCCCCTATGTATAATTCGTACTGTTGATGAAACACAATACTTAACACCCTCAACATGAAGGAGGAGTGGTATATTTTGGCTCATGGTTTATTTCACAGGTGGCTCCAGGGCAGAACCATCATGGTAGAAGAGCATGGTGGAGGAAAGCTGCTCAAGCCATGATAGCCAGGAAGCACAAAGAGAAAGGAAGAAGTGAGGACAAGAATACACCCTTCCATGTCACACTCTCAGTAACCCACCCCTCCAACCAGATCCCACCTCCTAGAATACACCCTTCCATGTCACACTCTCAGGAACCCACCCCTCCAACCAGACCCCACCTCCTAACAGCACATGAACTACTGAATTCACCTCTTGATGAATTACCATCTCTTGATGGTAAGTGTAGCAATCTAATGATCTAATCAACTTCCAAACAAATAAGACTTTTGGGAGATACTTTAGATCTAAACCATAACACTCTAAGATCTGCATACCAATATTTTTACCTGTAAAAAATCCCACTGTTCATTTGGAAAAACCCATTGAGGCTATTTTCTCTGAGAGTTACAGAGCCTAGCCAATCAGGGACGACATTGCCTCCACATGCTTTGCATTGCTAACTGACATAAATTATCTACAGAATGAATTGACTTTTTTAGTAAGTGGATGCTGGATCATGAATAAGTAATATAAGTGTCTGGAGCCTCATTTAAAGTATGTAATGTGGTGAATTTGTGGCCATCATTACCCTTTTTACCAGTTCTGAAATGGTATAATTCTGACTCAAGTATATAACCCAATACAATAAAAGAGTTTGCTTATTACATTTTCATTGATTTTAGATGCTAGTGACCTACTGAACACTTATATTAGGCATTATTAGAATTTAGTAATTTAAAGAGCATGACAGTTGGGAAAGAACAAAATAAATCAACTTTAATTTGCCTGCCATAACATATACATGACTTTATAAACATTTAACTAAAGGAAAAGAATGAAAGGTAAATGCTAAAATTTTTAAAGAATACCTCAGGTGCCACAAAGTTTGCAGTGTAGCATGGGGTTAAGAGAAGTCCATTTTCTCCTCGAAGTTGTTTTGCAAACCCAAAATCACAGATCCTAATTGAATCTGCATTAGCTGATTCATCCATGTATAAAATATTACTAGGCTTAAGATCACGATGAACAACCTTAAACAAAAAGAATAATGTATTAAATTTCTGTAGCAAACTATTTGTGAGATAAATTTTTTTGTATTTGCTGGGAAAGAAAATCCCAATTATAAAACAGAATTAAGATGTGTTATGTACATGTCCCAACTCCCCACATGGAATGTGAGCATTATGCATTGCAAACATGTATTAATAAAAACATGAAAATTGAAAAAATAAGATTTTAAAAATTACATTTTCTCCAATCCATGGTCTAAATTATACACAGGAAATTATCTTGGGAAGTTCCTGGGAAGATAGAGAATAGAAGTAATCTTTGTGTGATTCTGTGATTGAGAAACTTCAGCCCAAAAAAGGAAGAACTATTTTTCTGCCATCAAAAGTGAGGAAGAATTCTGGGAACCAATAGAGGAGCAAAAGGGTATTTTAAACAGCAGACAAATCTGGAAAGACAATGCAGATATGGGTATGAGACAATTCATAATTTCAATCCTAGCTCCTTAGCGTGGAGACAGGTAACACAATGCCAGAAGTATAAGGCAAGTGGTCAATGAAAGCAATTTCCAGTATTACAAGCTAGCCGGTGGCCCTATCCATGGGGGAAAGTTATAGTTCATACAAATTTCTACCCAGGATCAGAGATTTGTTCTGAAAGTGACTCTACCTGCAACACAAATCTGACATTAAACTTCGTAAGTGCTGAGAGGGCTATAACCAAAAGCCATCTTGACAGGGTTCCTATTATTAGGAACTAATCCCCTCTAGATAGTTGAGGGCACAAAGCAGTCACAATTATGGCTCCCTCCCAGTAGAAGGGAGCTGCACTGAGTGGGCAAAATAAGGCCACAAGTGACAGACCTGGCTGCGGGAAGTGTGGAATGGGAGCCTGCCTAGAATCTTGAGTAACATCAAAAACATGGGCTACAACAGCAAGAGAAGTACAGAGTGCAAGTGGCCATGCTCTCAGTAAATAGAAGTGAAAGCATCATGTTTTAAGAACAGTATGCATTTCAGAAGAATAAACATAAAGTGCTTTGTCCTTATGACCACTTCTCCATCATAGAAGTCAATGGCTTAATTGCTCCCGATATGCTTTAAGGCTTGTTCAGAGATATGGGGGCATACCAGAGTTTGGCCATTTGCCACACCCCCAGGTGCACAGTCTAGAATCATCTGGACTAAGGATATGCTCAGTTGGGATACCCCACAAGTTATCAAGATCCAGGTACTGAAGAGGGAGAGCTGCAGTCTAAACATAGACTTCTCCATGGGTCAAGCAGATCAAGGGCTCAGGAGAGGCCAAATACTTGCCTTATATGGTCCAGAGGCTGCCAGGCCTAGACTAGTGAAAAGGGCTCCTACCAGACACTCGGTTATTTTCCACACTGCTGTGCACTCAGACAGAGGAGGTACAACAAATGTACACATGTCTTGTGTACTCCAGATACCACTGAGGCTGGACTGGAAGCAAGGGATTCTGGCTGCCACTCATTCCACTGCCACAACCTTATGTACACACACAAAAGCTCTCCAGAAGAACTACATCCTGGAAGCAGCCAACATTATCTCAGCTTGCCAAGCAACAAATAATGTGCCATAGCAAGTAAATAACCCTAACCAGCTTCATGCAACCGCAAAGAAAGCAAACAGATTGCAGCTGCTTCTCATTATCTGCCCTCACCTGGCAGACTGTCTCTTCAAATCAAATTCTTTAGGCAGGATGAGTTCCTGACTAGTTTTTAGATTTAGTTTCTATTTTTTGTTTTTGTTCTGTTCTTTTTCTCACCTATCCTGTTTTCAATCATTTATACTTTCTCTTTTTTTAAAAAAAATTTCACTTTATTTGCATTTTTTTACTATTTTCCTTACATTTACTCTATACTTTAATTCCCCTCTCTTCTCTATTAATTGGATTTTATTTCATTCCTTCTTTTCCATTTTCACATTTTCCCTATCTTTTTTTTCTCCTCTTCTTTTTTTTATCATTCTTGCAATTCTTTTTCATTTTGCTCTTATTTGTTTGTTTTCTTATTCTTTGTTTCTTTAACTTATTAGTGTATTGCGTACTACTTTTGCTGCATCTCTTCTTTTGGATGTTGTACTTGTGATTTTATTTGGTTTTTACTCTAATGCTACATTGTGTTTGTTTACATTTGAACACTGCCAATGTTATCTTTTGTCTCCCCTCTATGCAGTGCTGGGGATCAAATCTGGCACTTAAGTACACTGGGTGGGTGCTATACTGCTAAGCTAAATTACTAACCTAGGTGAGAGAAATTGGACCTGACTTAAGCCACAACTTAGTCTGACTTGAATCTCAGCAGACACTTTAACCTAAACAAGGGTTATAAAATTCCCCCGCCAACAAACTGGCCCCAAGAAGGCACAACTTGAAGGGGGTGGGGGGGGTTTGAAGTCTTGATTTTGGACATTTACCCCCATAACAACATCAGAAAGAAACAATGCTTTTGTCGAAATACACCTACAAAACAATCCAGAAGACTGCACCATTTATCTTTGAGACAACATTTTGCTGATGAAATTAGAGAAAAAATCCAGAGGGTACACCACACATATATTGCTGTTTGAAGTACACCTGCCTTACTTAATACAGGGAAGCTACCTTTTCAAGATTTGTGGAGGAAATAGATCACTCAGGCTGTGACACAGCACATGCTGCATCAATTTGCACTAATCATAGAAAAAGAAGCCACAAAGAAAATACATAGTTAAGTCCTCTTAGGCCAAAACTCAATATTACATAACAGACTGATACCCAGGACCCATGGTCAAGAGCAACCTTGCCCCTAAAGAACACCCTCTCATAAAAGGTTAAGATAATTCCATCCCAATAGATGTGAAAATCACAAGGTAGAAACTGAGGAAATATGAAAAAAAGGCAACATGACTTCTCCCAAAGTTATTATTTCTACAGTAACTGATCCCAATGATATTGAAATGGACAAAATACCAAAAAATTCAAAAGAATGATTACAAAATGATCAATGAACTCAGAAGATAGGGAATGGAAAAAAAAAAGAATTGAAGGGGAAAATGATAAAAATAGAACTTTTGAAAATGGGAAGGGAGCCAAGAGTTAGAAGTAGCAGGAGGGAGGGGAGGGGTAGGAAATGAACGAAAAGAAAAAAAAAATTAAAATGTATTATGTATACGTACTACTTCCCCACAATAATTGCAGTCATTATGTACTAGAAACATGTACTAAAAGGAAATAAAAAAATTAGTGACATAAAGGAGATATAAAGGATAACAAAGAACATTATAATAAAGATATAGAGATTATGAAAAAGAAAACAAAGAAATTCTGAGAATCCTCAATTAAAAATTTTTGAGAAAGCTCAATTAAAAAAAACTTTAAATAGAAAGCTTCACCAATAGCCAAGATCAAGCTGAAGACAGAACTTCCAGGCTTGAAGATAGGTAGGTAAAATATTACATTCAGAAAAGAATAAAGCAAAAAATATAAGAAAACATGCAACATATCTGGGACATGAGCAAAAGAACAAAACAAGTTTCTGGAAATAAGAGGGCTATGAAATATAGATTACAGATAGAAAATCTATTTAGTAAAAAAATACCAGAAAATTACCTAAATCTTGAGAAATATATAGACATTCAGGTACAGAAGAAATCTTAAATATAAAATAATTGAAATAATTTCATGCAATATCATCAGATCACAATGGAAGGAAATTAAAAATCAAGAAGAGAAACCACAGAAATTATATAAAAAGATGGGAGATTAAATAATACACCTTTGAACTAGCACAGTCATTCCAGAAATTAGGGAAGAAATTTTTAAAAATCTAAGAATGAAAGGAAAATGGAAACACACTATATGAGAATGTGTAGGATTTAGTAAAGGCAGTTCTGAGAGGAAAGTTTACAGCTAAAAGTTCCTGCATTAAAAAACCCAAGAGATCTCAAGTAAGGAAACTAATAATAGATCTCAAAGTCTTTCAGACACAAGGAGAAATCAAACACAAAACCTATAGAAGGAAAGAAATAATAAAGATGAGAGCTTAAGTTAGTGAAATATACTAAAAGAATAACACAAAAAAGCAATGAAACAGTTGATTCTCTAAAAAGAAAAGCAAGATGGATAAACCTTTAATGAAACTAACCAAAGAAAGACAAACGGGGGTATTACAAAAGGGGTAAATGAGGGATACTACATTGGCTACAATTGAAATCTAGAGGATCATTAGGAACTACTTTGAAAACATATTCCAATGAATTAAAAAACCTAAAAGAAATGGATACATCTTTAGAGACACACAACCAATCAAAATTGAACAAAGAGTATACAAACCCTAAACAGACAATAAAAGGCAATGCATTGGAAGAAGTAGTAAGTCTCCCAACAAAGAAAAGCCCAGGAATGAATGATTTTACTGCTTAATTATATCAGACCTTTAAAGAAGAACTAACACCAATGCTCCTAAAACTTTCCCATGAAAATGAAAAGGAATGTTTCCAAATTCATTACAGAAAGTCAGTATCGCTCTGATCCCAAAAGTGGACAGACTGAAAAAAAAAAAAAATCCCAGGGGCTGGGTTTTAGCTCAGTGGTTCTGGCGCCTGTCTCGCAAGGGCAAGGTCCTGAGTTTGATCACCAGTACCAAAAAAAAAAAAAATCCCAAATCTGATAATGAACACAGATCTTCAATACATTTCTTACACACAGAATTTAACACATTAAAAAGTCATACACCACGACCAAGTTGGTTTCATTCCAGAGATGCAAGGATGGCTGAACATAAACAAATCAATGAACATAATAAAATATAAAAATAGGATCAAGGATTAAAAAATGATTATCTTGATAGATACAGAAAAAGCCTTCAAAAATCCAACATCTTTAATAAGAATCACCTCAACATAATAAAGGCTATGTACACCAAATCCATGTCCAACATCATACTGAGAGGTGAAAATATGTAAGCATTTCTTATAAAATCAAGAAAAAGACAAGAGTATCCCTTCTCAGGAGTCGT